TCTTTGTGCTGCTTCCTTTCTCTTGGGAAAGTGAGTCGCGAGGGCTGAGTTCATTGCTTGATGGAGACTCTGCCAGGTTTGGGGATGATCCTGAAGGAGGGAGTCTACCTCCCTGGCAAATGCCTGTATTTTCGGGGAGCGGTGTCTGTAGCAGTCCTCCATTGCCTGCTGGTCATAGGGTTTTGAGGCTTGGGCGGAGTATCTCCTGCTGTGCCTCAGTTTACCAAGAAGAGGGAAATGCCTACTACCATCCCTCCAGGATGCAACTGGGAAGGTCCTTAGTGGCCGGCAAAACCTGGCGGGGCCTTGGGACTGTGCAATCCTGACAAGCGAGAAGTCAATCTGTGAAATAGAGTTGCCTTGTTCGTGGGTGGCTGGTCTATGCACTCCCCAAGTGTTGGTTGCGACTAGCTGGTGCTCCGACAGTAGGGTCTGGAGATCCTTAGATCCGCGATGCCCGAGTCTGCAAGCCTGGATCGTGCATGGCCCTACGTGTTGGTTGTCGGTTTTGAGCGAGGAGTTAAAATCTCCTAGCACAAGGAGAGTGTTGCGATTGGGAACAGCTCGGATGGACTTACTTAGGGCGTGAAGGGTCTGCTTCCGGGTTTCCTTATTCTGAGCGACAGTCTCCTTAGAGCGCCAAACGTATTGATAGCAGCTGAAGACGTCCAGTGAGATGCCGTTGCTCGGCACCCGGACCTGGAGAACTCTTCCTGGAACAACCTCGTTGTAGCGAAGATCCTGTGACTTGCACAGCGTGGAGTGCACCATTATGAGGACCCCGGCTCCCTTCTCCCCTGTGGAACCAGAGCTGATCACGTGCCAGCCTGACTTGCTGAATTGCCAAGAGCCCCTCTAGTGTGTTTCCTGAATTGCTACCAGCTTCACATCCTGAAATGCTGCACTTTGCAGCACGGAGAGTAACTCTTCCCAAACTGCTGTTGTGGGTGATCCTGCGTTCCAGGATAGATAGCTGAGGTTCTTATCTTCTGTAAGTTTCGAAGGCCGAGTCCTTCTGCCGGGATTGGTGGGCTTTACATGTGCCGGAGCAACTCCAAGCTCTGTTGACGACATCGTCCTTCCCTTGTAGACCGCACTACCTTCAAGCAGAGCTTTACGTGCTGCCCTTTGATAAGAGCGTTTACCCTTCCCTTTAGGAACGGGCTGATGCTTGGTCGAACCACTAGGCTGTTTCGCAGCACTCATGTTGAGTACGGCTCCTGTCGGCTTCGCAATACCGACAACCCTCACCTCTGGGAGATGTTAGAGAGCTGTAAATCTAATACTCCCTCCCGGACTTGGGACCGGGACTGCTCAGGCGCTGACAAATGCCATGGCAACAAAGGAAAAAGGCAACTGTACTAGCCTGACCTTTCCTGAGCCGAGAGGCTTACAACAACAACAACAACAACAACGACGACAACATCAACATCAACATCAACATCAACATCAACGACAACAACACCAACACCAACACCAACACCAACACCACCACCACCAACAACACCAGCAACACCAGCAACACCACCAACGTCACCAACGTCACCAACGTCACCACCACCACCAACACCGCCACCGCCACCCCCACCACCACCACCACCAACAACAACAACAACACATACAACAAACCCAGCAACGGCAGCAACGGCAGCGGCAACAACGACAAGCTACAAACAAAAAAAAACTGCCGCCTCGTCAACCCATGTATCTGTTTTTTGTCTGTACATTAGGTAGAGACAGAAACAGGAGCCCCGTCATGTTGTTTTACCCCCCCCCCCACCGGCACAACAAGAACAACAACACAGTGCCTATGGTGTACAGGATTTGAATGGTTTGCAGAAGGTTTTTTCAATATTCTCAGTGTAATTCCATGGGTTTTGTGTGTATTTGCAAGGATTCTTGTGTGTATTTGCAAGGAGTTTGTGTTTATTTGCCAGATTTTGTGCGTATTTGCAGGGAGTTTGTGTCTATGTCTATGGATTTGTGCATTTTTTCCAAGGATTTGCTACGTATTTCAGTGGATTGGTGTGTATTTGCATGGTTTTTGTGTGGATTTTGTAAGTATGTCCATTGATTTTGTGTGGCTTTGAAAAGATTTTGTGTGCGTATGTCCAAAGCATCACACGTCAAAGCAGCAGACGTGGATCAAGCCCTTCAACATCACAGAAAATCCGGCAATCCCTTTATTTGAACCGTTCGATATCTAATGCAAACCCTTCAAGATTCCAGACAAGCACTTTCAACACGCATGAACCCCTTCTGGATGTCACAGATTCCCATACCTGTGGTGGGAATGTGGTGTAGGCTGGGTGGTTGTTGTAAAGGGGGGGTCAAAACAACAGACGGGGCTCCAGTTTTTGTCTCTACCACAGGGTAGAGACAAAAACTCAATTTCAATGGGGCCTTTGTCTCTACTCTGTGGTAGAGACAAAAACTGGAGCCCCGTCTGTTGTTTTGACCCCCCCCCCTTACAACAACCACCCAGCCTACACCACATTTCTATCATGGGGCAGTTGCTGCGTAAACCATGGCTTGCATTCCCCAAGACTCTACAGGCACCCGATGCGGTCCCCGGAGGCATTCCCAATTGCTTCTCATTAAGAGCAATTGCGGGCTGCTTCTTTTGTCTGTAGCAGCAGCAACAACAACAACAAATTAAATACAACAAACCCAACAACAGCAGCGACTGCAGCAACCATATCATCAACAATACGACGAATCAGGAAAATTGCAATGTCAGCCATTTCCCCAGCAACAGCAAGCCGCCAGCAACAGCAGATAGAAAACTGCAATCCGCTAACAACGCGAACAAGACTGGCAAGACTGTCAGCTAACAACACCAACGAGAAACAGTAGCGCCAGTATGCGTATCGGAACTAACCATTATCAATCGCTCGGGACGAACCAACAAACGATACTGCCGCGTTCAAACTACAGCCTCAAACCTTGGAACCCTCCGCTGAAACCACTGCCCACACCCCATGCGCAACTTAAAGCTAAATCACAAGGACACCCAAAGAACCTGGCAACTACCAGGAGCTTGCGAGCTTATCAGCACCAAGGCGCTGCTGGCTGTGGCCCCCCTTCGCGAGCACCAGGGCTGCGGTCCGAATGAAGTGGAGATCGGACTTGCAAGCCGGCATCTCGCATCGACGTCTTCGACGGCCCATGGCTTTTGGTGCCTCTTGAAGAGGAGACACGCTGGGGTCCTGCTGCTTTTTGCTTCGGGCATGTACGAATATTGGCAGTGGTAGTTGCAGCGGTAAGAGTGGTAATAGTCAAAGCTTAGGGATTTCGGCCTATATGCACCGGTGGTTTGCAGGTTCAGGGCCGGGGGATCGTTCCTGGTGTAATTAGTGCTGGTGCATGCTGTGATGCTCAATGCGTTGTAGCGACTCAAGAATGTCTGTCGGAGCCAAGAAAGATGCGGGTCCGATGAAGAGGAGCGGCGGCCTCTTGGAGAAAAATCGCCCTTCGTCTTACTTTGTGGGGAAACACTTGAGGCCGTCAACCCCCTGCCCGAAAGACTCCGTCGACCCTGCAGAACAAACCCAAGACTGTGACTAAACAACTTCGGTGTGGTTTGGGGTTTGGGGCCTGCGTTTGGTTTATGTAGGGCTTCAGGGACGGGTTACAAGAGAGTGCGAGTTCCCCGCAACCCTAAATCCTAGTTGGAGTTTGTTCTGGGGCCTTCTGACAGTTTCTGTGCAGTGGATAGGGCACCTTATGGCTATCTGGGAGACCGAAACGAATGCCAGCTGAACTCCAGCAGCCCAAACTCTGAACATATCCCAATGTGCAGGAGCTGCACCCTCGGCCTTTTCACCCGAGACGGGCTTCGGGCTCAGGTTCTCGGGCTCAGAAGTTGTCCCGAAGCTCCCTGATCCTGGCGATGGGCGTTTGAAGATACATTCCTCTCGGCAGTTTTGCACCATGAATGATCTTGTTATTTGCTGAGACTCGACGAGTGCTCCACCCATGGCGCTCAAGGTGATATACGTGTTCAGCCGAGCGGCTGTGTGGAAGAGCACGGCACAGTGACGAAGCACATCGCGGAGGAAAGCCTCAGCTTCGAGATCCTTCGCTGTGTTCTTGCTTTCGGGGGTTGTATTCGGCTTGTCTGCGGCTGCGAGTACCTCGCCTGCTCGCCTCGTGGCATATCAGAAACTGGGCTCCAGAAGCTTGAAAGCTTGCGTCTTGCATAGCCTTATGCGATCTGCTTGCTATCAACAGCACAACGCTGTAAGCCACCAGCCATCGTGTCCGGCGTCATAACAGCCTCGTGCGTGTTCGGGCGACAGGTCCGTGGAAGCATCGGATCCGTGGAGTCAAGGGGGCCATCCCAAACCCAAAAATCTACAGGTCTGAGGCCCCGTCAGGTTCGTGAGCATGCGCGTCAGCTCGATCATCAAAGCGAAGTGCTCCACGAACCAGCCCTTGCCCGGGTCGTGACCACGTCTATGCACATGCTCATATATAGATTCGTCTATCGGGCCATATGATAAGAAAAGGACTTTTAAATACCTGTATGCATCGAATCGAACCGACCCTAATTTCGATTGGAGGTCCCCTAGGTATCTAAATCTGATGTTGCGGTCTGACTCCATAGCTAAATAACCCAAGTAACCACGCAAGGAGGGGGGATCTTCCGGGCTCAGCTTGACTGCGGACTCGTGTGCTGCTCCCCTGTGCACTCAAGCACGACTAAGAGCCCTTGGTGAACTTGCTTCTGACCAGCTGGCATCTGTCCCTGGTCCTGTACCCGTTGCATGCACCGCTTGACTTGAAAACTTGATCGGCGTAGCCTGCTCAAGAAATGTGAGCGTCGAACTGCTGACTGCTAATTAATCCTGGAAGTCAAGCAAAGCCGCAGCGCATAAAAACGTCAGTGACTGCTGCTGCTACCTCAGTCGAGAAGCTCACACGACAGGGAGGATGCAAGTTCACAGCGCTCAAACTCCAGCGCGGCTGAGGCACACACACACACACATACATGCAACTTACACATCGTCCGTCTTTTGTGGCAGCGTGAACCCGTAGCAATCTGACCTGCGAGCGGGGCGACGGCAAAAACCCCTAAGCTGACAAGTCATCGAAACCAAGTGCTGGGCTCAGTTGTGTCGCGCAGACTTCCTGACATCGTTTCTTCCTTCACCCAGTTACTGTCCTGCAAAGTCAAGCCGAGACGCGGCACAGGGAGGCCTAGGTCCTAGGTGGCAGAGCGGATTTGACGTGAAATGCTCTCCTGCTGGGTGTAAATGTTGATCTTGGACGCTTGAAGTGGAGGCAAGGAAGGGTCGATTGCCTGCAGCGATAAACAAAGGATTCTGGGCAGTTCCTCTTCCACTTTGATTGCCTGATTTCATGGGCTACCCTCAAAACTACAATCTTTGTCATCGCCCTTCTGCAAACAACTCCCGACCTAAATCCACGCGCCAGTTCCAAGCACAGGGCCTTCTTCAGGTCATCCACCTGACATCGCACACCAAAAGGACGCAGAACCACTCATAAACACAGAAACACACTGAGGCAATCGATTCAGTGGCGCAGCTAAGGTCGCGGCGTTGGCGAAGGCTCCTTTCACTTGGAACGCATTGCCCGTGGGCTCAAACTCCTCGCCATCCTCGAACTTCATTTGTGGGTCGGCAACTTTTCACAAGAGATGCGAACAAAATAAACCACCCGTCTTGGAGAATGCACAGCTTTCGACAACAAGGACAACATATGAATGCACAACCGGTATCCTCCGAGGGCCTGGCCGTGAGCTGTTTGTCCTGTCGAAGGTCATCGCTGCAAACACGAACTGACAGCAAACTTACAAACTCACTCCAGCAATCCCGAGCCCAGCCCCTCCCCCACATCCCGCACCAGGGCCAACACCAAGCCCGGCCAAGAACTCCACGACAGGGCTAACACGACAGGGCTAACACTGCATGCGCACACAACGCCGTCCTTCCGGGCCAGCCCCCGCACCCAGACGACGGGCTCTGATGTCGCGCCTCACAGAACGTCAAAGGCTGGTATCTCGAAACCTCCAGCTCCATGGTCACACTCCGAAGAAGCACACACCATGACATGTGCACGAAGGCCAGAGAACGTGCTTCTGCAAAACGGAAGCAGAGAACGATGACAGACAAAACAAGACAAGACTACAAGACTTCTCACCCAGTCCATGTTGCGGAGCTTCATTTGGCAACCATGTGAGCCATGCGAAACTTGAACTGTGAGCCTTGTCCTGCTTGTGGTGCAAGCGGTCTTCGACCCGTGCACAAGTACTCATCTACGTCCACAGGTCGCCACCTGCCGATTTGATCCGGAACTTGGGTCATGTTCAGAACCGCGTCGATGATCTGCTCGTTGGAACGCAATGGGTTGTTCTGCACGTGCTTCCGAGCCTCCATGCGTTCCCATCTGTAGCTGCGGGCATCGTTTTGTGCCCAAGCTCGGGAGCGTGCTCCATTGAGATTGGCTACCTCCTGGACAGCTTTTTCAGATTGAGTGACGACGAGCAGGTGGTGACCACATTCAAAGGCATACCTGGTGAGACCCAACAGCAATTCTTGTTGTCCATGCAACCCGCGATCAAAGGTGTTGTCAAAGAGGATCTGCAAACGGATGCCACGAGCTTGTAGCAAATCAAACAGCACCGAAGAAACTTGCACAGCATCTGCAGCATCTGCTACCCGGAAAGAGTCTTTGAGGTTCTTCTGGAAATCTCCCTGTAGAAGCACTCCGACTGAGGACATCGGCATCCCATTCCTGAGTGCCAGCGCCGTGGCAGTAGACTTGCTAACGCCTGGTTCTGCTTGCACTAAAGAAACACCAGTTGTTCGGTTGTCAGCCAAGACAGTCATCATCAACTGCTCGAAGCTTGTATTTTCAATTGGCTTTTAGGTACTCTTTGCGATTTCGGAATAATGCTGTTGCCACTCTGCCACTCTCCTGTGCCTTCCCCAGACTTTCAAACAGTTTCTGAGCATGCTGTTGCACATCCCCAACAGCCGAATATTGGCAATCTCAGCTTTGTAATAGTCCATCTGCTTGTTGATGAAATCAACACGGGCTGTTGCAGCTGACGCAGCACCAAACACTGCAGCTGGGTCAGCGGCGACCCCAACGGTTCGTGGGTGCGCGCCGTCTCTTTTGGCATGCCAAAAGCCAACAAATCCGCAAAGCTCGAGGCTTACATGGGTGAACATGGCAAAAACCACCATTCTCTGACATCTGCGCGCCATGATAATCGAGGCACGCCTTGTCTTATTGCTTCTCAAGTAAGTATTTCACCTTGAACAAGCATTGGACATGTTCTCTTGTGTATATGTCCCACTGGTCTTTATAATTCATGGCCTCCGTTCTGCTGCTGCGGCTCTAAACTCTAAATTGTGAAGCAACCGCTCTTCCAGAGCCGAGCCTTCGCAAGCACAATTCAGTTTCAAGCCGCCCGTCAGCCCGGCACATGTGGTTTTTTCTAGCACCTAAAAGCATGGATTCGCAAGAGCTAATTTCAAACTCCAGCGCTGCTGAAGCACACGCATGCAACTCACACATCGTCCGTCTTTTGTGGCAACGTGAACCTGTAGCAATCTGCCCTGCGAGCGGGGCGACAGCAAAACCTCCAAGCTAAGCTGAAAAGGCATCGACACCAGGTGCTGGGTTATGCCGCGATTGACTTCATTGTCTTCGTCTTCCTTCAACCAGCCCCCATCCTGCAAGCCGTCAAGCGGGGGTTGACGCGAAATGCTCTCCTTCTGGCGGAGATATCCAGTTGGAACGCATCGCACGTCACAGTCTTTGGGTTTTCGTTGTTGAAGCAAGGCTCAGCAACGGCTCAGTGGAAAATGAAAACGCAATTCCGCTTCAGCTTTGATTGCCTGATTTCATGGCGAGCGGGTTTGGCATGACTCCGTCTGGCTGTAAATGTCGATCTTGGACGCTTGAAATGGAGACAAGGAAGGGTCGATTGCCTGCAGAAATAATGTGAGCTCGTGATTATTAAAGGTCCCCTCAATAGAGCTAAACTCGGCCCGGCACACAATAATTAAAAGTCCCCTCAATATAGAGCTAAACTCGGCCTGCACGTAATAATAAAGACCCCTCAATGATCCTAAAACCCGTCCCGGCGTAAAATTTTAAGGTTTAGGTAGAGAAGCACTCCTACTACCTGCCGAAAAGCAAACCAGAATCCATGAGGCTTCTATATAGAAACCTCAAGTCTCCAGCTTTCAGTGATTCAGGCCAAAGCTCCAAACTCTGGTTTTGCACGGCTGCCAGATCTATAGTTTTCTTATATAAACTCTAGTAAAAAACCATCCCAGCAACTTTTCTAAAGGGCAGTATACGACAGCTGCCGACCCCACAATAATTCGGATGAAAAGGCTTCCTCAATAGTGCAGCGGCCTGCCAGGGGCCTCCAGAACAGCAAACCAGAATCCTTTGCTGTATTGAAACCATAAAGCCTCAATGTAGAAACCTTCAAGGATTCAGGCCAAAGCTCCAAACTCTGGTTTTGCACGGCTGCCAGATCTATAGGTTTCTTATATAAACTCCTTATTAAATAGGCCATTCCAGCAACTTCTAAGGCGTAGTATACGATAGCTGCCGACCCCACAACAATTCGGATGAAAAGGGCCCCTCAATAGTGCAGCGGCCTGCCGGGGGGCCTCCAAAACAGCAAACCAGAATCCCTTGCTGTATTCAAAACCATAAAGCTTCTGTATAGAAGCCTCAAGTCTCCAGCTTTTCAGTGGTTCAAACCAAAGCTCCAAACTCTGGTTTTGTACTACTAGTACTACTGCTGCTACAACCACTACTACTACTTCTTCTTCTACTACTACTAATACTACTACTACACTACTACTATTACTGTGCTACTGTGCTTCTGTACTACTGTACTATTGTCCTACTGTACTATGCGATTATACTAGTGTGCTACTACTGAAAGCTCCGGCCCCCAAGCAACCTCGACCTCGGCTCCCCGTTTGGCAGAACCAACTGGATGCTCGTGCGTGGGGGGCTTGTAATTGTGTTTTGTTTCATTAAGTTTGCTTTTCTCATTTTATTTCTTCGCAAAAACCACCCCATAAAACGATTTCGTCCCGGGAGTCGCATGTGCGATGCGCTGTGGCTCGGGAGTCCGCGGTCGGAGTCGAGAGTGGAAGGTTCGGCACTGGAATCGAGTCTGGAGGCGAATTGCAAGCTCTTTGGAGCCCCTCCAGATGCGCGCGTGGGGGGTCCGAGAGTGCAGAATCTGTGCGGGGGGGAAGTGCAGAATTCTAGGGAATGCATGGAAACCGGGGCTGTAGGTGCTCTGTGATGGGGGATGGGACTACCCTCCCTAGAGAGAGTCCGTCGGGTTCCGAGTGGCGGGGAGGCAGATACTCAGCCTCGACCATCCTTCGGATTTGTTCCACGGACCCTGCTGCGCACGCCTTGGCGTCAGCTCAGCGTAGGTATCGAAGACCGGCGCGACGTCCGGCCGGGTGGATGTCGGAGTGGACGAGCGGAACGTCGAGCGCGATGTGCCTTGTATCGGTCCGGGTCGGTCCTCGAGCAGGCGGAAACTGGGCCGGGCGCTCCAAGTTCTCCCGGATAGCGGCCGCGCCTTGTTGGTCCGGGAGCCGGGGACCGTCCGGGAGGGAACAGGGCCCGGTCGGGCGATACTGTCCGGGGACGGATCCGGGCCAGTCGGACCGGGCAGCAAGCACCGAAATGGTGGCTTCAATGTCCCACTGCCCTATGTTCGCAAGAGCATAAAAATTATCTTGCGTGACCTCGGAGAGCAAGACCATGAGGCGGGCGGCTTGGGATATCGGAAGTTCGCGGCCGCCGCGTATACGGAGTCGTCGTCCGCTTCGGACACAAAGTTCACCAGACCTGCCGGAGTTCAGCATCTGAGCGGCGATCGGGACCGGAGGCAGGAGGATCTGGTCCCATCCAGTCCGCAGGTCGGCGCGGAAAGGTCTCCACCGGCGGCGGGTCGGCGGCAGAGGCATCCTGGGCGGGGTCCGCAGCCGGCACATGCTGAGGCGGAGCCGCCGGAAGACCACCAGTAGTCGGAGGATACTTCGGCACGGCCTTGACCGGGACGGAGGCGCTGCCAGCCTCATTCGCCTGGCCAGAACCGGAGCCAGAAGGCGGAGAAGAACTCGGCATGTAGCCGCGCCGCCATGATCCGCAGGGCCATCCGGAGCACCGCCACCAGAGGCAGCCGCACCTTTCGCCACCGCAGTGGGGGCAGAAGGCGGGTCCGAGACCACGGCCGGAGAGGCCGCAGCCGGAACCCGGGCATCCACAGCCACAGCGGGGCCCACCACAAGGACGCGAGCTCGAGGAAGAAGTACGGGATGACTGCCAGAAGATATGCAATCAGCCGGGAATATCAAGAAAGCCCCAGGCCTGCCGTCGACGGCGGCGACGGGATCGACCCCGCCGGCGGCGACGGGGCCGGGAGTCAGAAGACGAAGCAGATTTTCGGTTTGCCGTCATTCTGGTGGCTAGACTTCTCTCTGGACAATTACCAGAGTTTCGCAAGGACTCTTGCACCCTTTAAGGGGCCTTGGGGCTTCGCGGCCATGTGGCATGTACTCGTATGGAAGCTTTTGACAAGCAGAGAAGATCGAGCGCTGTGGTGATCCA